TTTGATATGCCGATATAACTGAAATAATGATACTCATAAAAATTATTTGAGTTATTTGGTCAGATGTAACTGTGTGATGAGTCACTTTGTTGTTCAGTCAGCCTTTACACATCACTTTATTTCAATGGATCTGAAAGAATTTCAAGATTTATAATAAAAGCACTTTGTTTCTTCCATAGAACCCATTGCAACTTTTTAATTATTTTGCTTTTTGTTATCTCCTTAACAAGACTATAAATTCCATGAAGGCAGGGACCATATCTGTTTTTATCATTGCTATTTTCCTAGTGTTTTCTATAGGACATGCAAAGTAGGGTTCAAATAACATTATGTGAATGAATATGGATGGATGGATTGATGGATGGATGAATAAGTGAATGAATGAGTGAATGAAACAAAACTTTAGAAGCTAAACCTATATAGATTCACCATGTGTGTGCATGTTAAATTGCTTCTGTCATGTCCAGCTCTTTGCAACCCCGTGGACTGTAGCCTGCCAGGCTCCTTTGTCCATGGGAATTCTCCAGACAAGAATACTGGAGTAGGTTGCCATGCCCTCCTCCAGGAGGATCAACCAACCCAGGGATCAAACCTTCATCTTGTATGTCTCCTGCCTTGGCAGGCAGGCTCTTTACTACTGGTGCCACCTGGGAACCCAAGAATTTGGAGAAGGACAGTTAAGAAGTGAAAAATTTAGCCAATCAATTAATTGTTAGGTCATCCCTCTTCCAAAAAGATCATTTAATTATTTTATTGGGTATATCCTTAAACTTATATCAACCAAGTCTACAGAGAAATGACCCTCTAGTAAGCCAGGCTATATCAGATAACATAAATGGCAAGACCTTTTAGAAATTTTAATGCAAACAAGATGTTCATATAGTTAGGTTGGAATTTTATGCTTATAACAAAATCAATATTTCTGCATTTTCAAAATTCCACCTTCACTTAGACTATAAATCTCCATTACAAGGATTAAGTAAATCAGAATCAATAAACACAAGGAATCATTTGATACTACAAATCCATTAAATAGTTTAGAGGAGAGATAGAGAAGGAAGGAGAGAAAGAAGAAATGAGAGGAGTAAAATATATAACAAGAAGAGAGTTATAAATATAATATAATAATATAATGAAAATAGCAACTACCCTGTTCATACATACACACACACACAGAATAGACATTAGCTTGAGACATACAGGCAGCTAGGTAAGCAATGTAAACACGTCCTTTCTTTCAATTAAAATGGTATCCTAGACTCTAAAGTGGAAGGAAAAAATAGAATATTTTTAAAAGACAATTTTCAGATATGCCTATAATTGTGTATTGTCATACTGTTTCATATTTATGAACTTTGTGAAAGTTTATTAGAGTGATATTTAAATAGACTTCCATAAAACTGATGCAGCACTAACCCCACACTTCAAATCTGTCATCTAGTTCTCCATGGATAGTGAAGTATTTTATATACTGTTAATAGAAAGTTTAGCAAAGAAGCTATTAGTAAGAAAGGTTTGCATATTCTCTGTTGTGTGGGGACAGAGTTTTTTCTAGCTTATGGAGAAAAAAATGAAAGCAAAGAATGAAACTGAAGCATACCCTTTGTTAACATGAGTAGGTGCTTCTCAATATTCTTTTTATGCTGTCTAGATTTCCAAATGTGCCCTTATCATTTTTAGCAAGTGAAAATTCAGAAGAAGAAAAGAAACGTAATATGTATTATTATATTTTAATGTGATGTTCTACTTTTCTGTTTGTAGTTATTGAAGTTTTTGTCTTACTTCATTAAACATTTAATAAATCACCACTAGTTTTATGACAGATTTTAACCATAACACAAACAGCAGGAGGTGTAAGCCTGCTCAGTTCATATAGGCATATAATATCAGTGTCTACATCATCATACCCTGCAGGCATATTGGCAGAACGACCAATGGAAGGGAAGCTTTTTCCGACAAAGCTTCGAAAATAAAGTTTTCTTCTTTTATCTTACTACAAATCAATTGGAACCCTTACAGCAAAATCCTATAAAATAACTTCAAACACCACTTCTTAGTCTAAAAATTTGTATTATGGCTATAACTCTTTGAAGTATTATGACTGAAGTTTGGAGAAAAATGATTTAAGTGCTATCTGCTAGACATCAGAGCTTCAAAAATTCTCTCAGTTTTTCTTGACACATAAACTACTACCCACTGTATGTTTTTAGAATTTTTTTTCCTTGCTTTTAACCACCTAACCCAGTTTGCTTGATGAAAGTTATTTAACTGCAGTTTATCCAATTGAATTAATACTTTTTAAAGGTTCACCAACTTGCAATTGATTATTTTACTTTGTCAAGTTTTTTTTTTTTTTTTCCTACTCTGCTAGAGTTTGGGGTTTTCTATAAAAGAATTTTCAGAGTCTCAGCATGCTGACTTTAAATTAAGTTTTTAAAATAATCACTGGGGAGAGGGTAAAACAGGGGGTTAAGGGCACCTGTGATTCTTGCTTGGAAGTCAAATGTTAGAAAGAGAAAACAGAAAAGTTTTTTGATGGAAACATCTCTCTTACACTGAGTAGACGATGAATCAAGGATGCCTTCTGCAAAGGGCACGAGCCTCATCAGGCCTCCTCTCGCAATGGGTGAGAAGGTGTTGTCAGGGATTCAAGTCACTGCATGCTCACAGACATGCTGCAGAAACTCCAGCCAAAACTTGAGTAGTTTAAATTTCTTTAAACATGACACAGAAAAAATGTAACTTGAAAAAGAGAAGATTGCATTCAGTAAGTTATTTGTGAGTGTCTACCTTATGCAGTCTCTTCTATGAGATGCTATGTTAAGTGGGGTATGAAAAATAGAAAAAAAGAAAAAAGAGTGCCCCATCTCAACAGACTGCCTTGGACTCAGTATCTTTGCCCAGTACATTGAGATTCCTTTGGTGTTTCATTCCATTCTCCCTGAGGTATTATCCTGGAAAATGATGCTTTACAGAGTCCAAAGTAATTAATACAGCTAATATGGGTTCTAAATTGTCACTTCATATTTATAGTGGTCTAACTTTAGTAGAAAATTCTGCAAAACAATTTACTGATATAAATTTATATCAGTTCTGTTCAAAATGCCAGTCTGTCATAGGACAAGGATAGGTGCTGTGTCCTTGTAGTTAGTTGCTCAGTTGTGTCCAACTCTTTGTGACCCTGCAGACTGTAGCCTGCCAAGCTCCTCTGTCTATGGAATTTTCCAGGCGAGAATGGGAAATGGAGTGGGTTGTCATATCCTACTCCAGAGGATCTTCCCGAACCAGGGATCAAACCAACATCTCTTGCATCTCCGGCACTGGCATGTGGGTTCTTTACCATTGTGCCACTTGGGAAGCCTGGAATAAGACAAAGAACTTGCACCAAAAATTAATGCACTGCTTCCTTCAATCAATAAATTTTGCTTCCAAAACAATAAATGTCAGCTGAGCTAAACAATATTAGTAAGTTAGTTGGTAGTTGTTAGTAAGGTAGTTGACATATTCTGGAGCAAGCTCTTCATTCCATCTCAAGTTAGTAACACATGGTTTAAGGACTGGTAGCTTATTTCATGGACCACATTTTAAATAACCACTCTTCACAACCCAGCTTAGATTTGTAATCATCTAGAGCAAAATAAATAGCAAAATCAAAAACAGAAACAAAATCAAAAATTACTAAGGAGTAGATGTTGTGGGGGAAAGTTAGGAAATATAGGAAACAGAGGGAATAAAGGGGCTCTGTTATCCATCCAGGGAATAAAAGCATACATTTTATCCATCCTCAATGGGCTGCTGGTTAAGAAGGGGACCTTTTGTGATTTATTTAAAGAATAGGCTGAGAACAAGACAAACACATGCTGCAGTTGTAGGTTTCTTCTACTGCATCTGTACCTTATGTTTTCTCACTGCTCTTGGTACACTTACAGGCAGGCAGAAAGCTCAATTATCACCATTTTACTGGAGATAAAGCCAAACTGTCCCCATGGAACTGAACATGATAAATTAAAGTGTTGATGCAGAAAGCAACAGAGAAGAGCTTGATACATACAGCTGCAATATCTGGAAAAGAGGTTGCTTGGCAGCAGCTCATGGGTAATGAGATCGTGCTTCTTCCCATCCCATCAGGTGGCAAAACTGGACCAACACAAATGTCTTGAAATGCAGTGAAGCCCAGACCCACAGAGCCGCTTCAGTGGGAATGTGTGGGAAACATTCATCATGTTACCCTTCACAACTGCTGGAGAATTCATTCCCTTAAGAATTACCTGACTTGATCAGTTCTCAGAGAGGATAGGTAATAGGAATACTCCTGAAAAACTTTAAAGGACCAGGCTTCCCATAAGCCATTCTATACCCCGAGTCAATTTCCTCTACTCACAGGCCAGGTGCACTTTGGGCCCAAGCCTCAAACTCCAGTTTCTGACATGTCTCCCGAGTCCTGCTTATTATATGCTCCGTTCTTTCACACACCCTTCATCTTCTCCAGCATGCTCTTCCCTTAGCCAAACATTTTCTGAAATCCCACAGCCTCCATAGACTTTTCCTCCAGAACCACTTCAAAACGAGATGAAAATTTCCTCCCAATTCTGTCTCTAAACCTAATTTTCAAATGTGCTTAACACTTGATAATGTTGGACCATCTATCAGCAATCTACATCTCTGCTACCTGTCTACACGGCTTCTATATGTGCTTATCTATATCAGTGTTTATACACTTGATTTAAAGTGCCAAGAGGGCAGAGCTGGGGCTTGTGTGAGTCTTTTTGATACACAATATCATTTCTATATTTGATACTGTAATGATGATGAGCAAGAATCCAAGCTAGATGTGGCAGGTAGGTAAATTGCTTAAATTTAAACCATTCTACTCCCATTTTCATTTTTATTCTTCTGTTGCAAAGGTTGGAAAGCTAAAAGCTGTATTTCCCATATTCCTTTGTAGCTGTGGTGCAGAATTGTGACATAGGTTTTGATGATGTCATAAACCAAAATGTAGAAGCAAGCAACAAGAAGAGATGGCCACGCATAGGAATACATGGCCACCTGGAAAATGCTATAATAAAAATTGCTGATTCTTCTATGGTGGCTGAGGCAGAATTTCTGGTGTCCAGTTTCAGAAAAGGACCAATATTTGTTGAGTACCTACTACTGTGATAATGATATTATATAGGTTACCTAATTTTAATCTTTGAGTCAACTCTATCAGGTCGGTATTATCTTTTTCTTTTTAGACGTGAGAAAACTGAAGCTCAGAAAAGTTAAATAATGTGCCCCCAAGTAACACAGTAACTTGGGTTGCAATCCAAGTCCTTAAAGGAAAAACAAGTGTATATACACAAACCCACTAAATACAAAGAAGCAGAGTGTTTCAAGAATACTATAGTTTCAGTGGTGCTACAGGCATGGAAAGATTATGGAGAACAAACAATGAAATTTTTTTTAAAAACTAAATAGCTGTCAGATTTGCTTAGTAGGAAGTAGGAAGTCACTGAGGATCTCTGGAAGAGCTGTCTCTTTATAGTGCTAGAAACTAAAACTATATTGCAGACTTTTATTTATTTATTTACTTATTTATTTATTGTTTCTTTTCTTTCAGTTATTTTTATTAGTTGGAGGTTAATTACTTCACAACATTGCAGTGGGTTTTGTCATACATTGACATGAATCAGCCATGGATATACATGTATTCCCCATCCCGATCCCCCCTCCCACTTCCCTCTCCACCTGATTCCTCTGGGTCTTCCCAGTGCACCAAGCCCAAGCACTTGTCTCATGCATCCCACCTGGGCTGGTGATCTGTTTCACTATAGGTAATATACATGCTGTTCTCTCGAAACATCCCACCCTCTCCTTATCCCACAGAGTCCAAAAGTCTGTTCTGCACATCTGTGTCTCTTTTTCTGTTTTACATATAGGGTTATCATTACCATCTTTTCTAAATTCCATATATATGTGTTAGTATGCTGTAATGTTCTTTATCTTTCTGGCTTACTTCACTCTGTATAATGGGCTCCAGTTTCATCCATCTCATTAGAACTGATTCAAATGAATTCTTCTTAACGGCTGAGTAATATTCCATGGTGTATATGTACCACAGCTTCCTTATCCATTCGTCTGCTGATGAGCATCTAGGTTGTTTCCATGTCCTAGCTATTATAAACAGTGCTATATTGCAGACTTTTAAAGTGAGCACATGGTTTGGAAATGATGATCAGTGAATGAAAACCTTTTTCAGCCAATCAAAGATGATGAGAGAAAGAGAAGATTGTATGGTAATTCAAAAAGATCTTGGATCGAGGAAAGATTTTCTTATTGTTTCTACTTTGGTGTTTTTTTTTTCCCATTGTTCCCTGATGGAGGATCCCAAGGCATATTTTTAGGCAGATAAAAGGGATCAAATAGAGAATTTGAAGATCAGAGAGAATAACTATGCTATGTATAACCAAAAAGACCTGAGATAAAGTCAAATAATAGATTTGGATATTTACAAGCACTAAGTATAAGGAAATTTTTTTAATATCAGACTTCGTTTCAGTCCACAAAATGTAATCTGTACTTTCCTAGTATGTTTTACTCAACAAAGACTCTCTTTTTAACAGTTTAATACATGCTGCATAAACTGGTTATATAAAGCAAGGCACGAGGCCGGAGGGCTCCCACTCCAATTTGACAACACCATCTCGTCTTCACACCACCTGTCACATCTATCAACATTTTAACTAATGTCAGAGTTCTTCTTTTGCTAATGAGCTGCTATCCAGGGAAGCACATCTCTGCTCAGACTGCCAGCTACAGCATAATGAGCTAGAGTGAGAGGCATCATCTTCCTCCCAGAAGCCTCTCACTGCTGTAGAAGACCATCGCTGCTCTTCTCTTCTGTTACAGACCCAAATTTAGTCATTTGAGGCCCTTCTAGGTGTGTTTTGCTTTGACATAATTAAAAAAAATAAAAAACTTTCCTGCATCTAAAGGTGTTGGTGTTGGTCATGGCCTGAGTGTTTTATGCGTAGCTGAGTGAAGTGGTTGCGCTATATCCCAAGCACTCTACTAGCCCTCTCCTCTCCCAAATGCTACACTCTCTTCTTCTAAAGTGATACTTTTTCAGATTATTCCATCTGTAATACCAAAAATCAAATGCTTGTAGCTCCTCAGTTTCCCTCATCTATGCTTATGGTTGTAATGTTCTGCCTGGAAGCTCCCTCTCTTCACCCTCCATGTGGTTAACTCCCACTTTTCATTAAGAGTAAGTTATGGTGTGGACTTCCCCAGTGGTCCAGTGGTTAAGAATCTGTCTTGCAATGCAGAGGATATGAATTCAATACCTAGTGAGGGAACTGAGATCCCACATGCTGCAGAGCAACTGAGCATGCATGCCTCAACTAGAGTCCATGCAATGCAAGGAAAGATCTTGCATGATGTAACTAAGACCCAACTCAGCCAAATAAACAAATTTTTACCGAAAGAGTCAGTTATGGCATCATCTCCTTAAGAAAGTATCCCCTGAATGCCCAGGCTGGCTTAAGTGTCCCTTCTCTGAGCTTCTGTTCTATCTTACATATGCCTCAGTCCTGGCAATTACATCATTATATTGAAATGACTAATTTCTGTATTTTTTTCCCCAAACTTCACCACAATCTCCACACACAAGGTATCTTATTTATTCATATCTCATTCACCTAGTACAGTGAACTGAAGCTGCCTCAGTGACAACTTTAAGTGATAAACACAATGCCATTACTCATTAATTTTCAATAACTGATGCTGGCACTCCCTTTATTAGGTAGCATTTCTTTACTCTAAGTCTCCAGCTCGAGTAAATTCACATGAAATAGCAGTTATCCTAGGCATAAGGAACTACTACATTAGTCTTTCCCAAAGTGTGCTCCTCAAAACACTGGTCTTAATATGATCACAGAACCCCATGTTCCTATGTATTTGGCAAATGCTTCACACTATATTGGAGAAGGAAATGGCAACCCACTCCAGTACTCTTGCCTGGAAAGTCCCATGGATGGAGGAGCCCGGTAGTCTACAGTTCATGGGGTTGCAAAGAGTTGGACACAATTTCCCTTGTGGCTCAGGTGGTAAAGAATTCGCCTGCAATGAGGGAGACCTGGGTTCAATCCCTGGGTTGGGAAGGTCCCCTGGAGAAGGGAAAGGCTACCCACTCCAGTATTCTGGCTCAGAGAATTCCATGGACTGTATAGTCCATGGAGTCACAGAGAGTCAGACACGACCGAGCAACTTTCACTTTACTTTCATTTTCATACTATATAAACACTTGGAGATTCACAAAGCATATTAAATTTGAAAAGCTCTAAGAAGTCAAATATGTTTTACTTTAACTCAGTGTTTCCGAAGTTAATTCATTTAACCAACTAATCCTTATTTTTTCTTGGTGGTTGTTTAATTATTAAGTTGCGTCTGACTTTTGCAACCCCATGGATTGTACCCCACAAGGTTCCTCTGTCTATGGGATTCCTCAGGCAAGAATACTGGAGTGCATTGCCATTTCCTACTCCAGGTGATCTTCCTGACCCAGGGGTCGAACCTGCGTCTCCTGCATTGCATGCAGATTCTTTACCACTGAGCCACCTGGTAGGGGGAGGAGGAATATCATCTATTAATATCCCACAGATTAAGCGTTCCTCAAAAAATACTTTGAGAAACTCTGCATTATTAATCAGTCATTTTAATAGAGTCATTCATATGCATTCTGGGAAAGTCAGAGAGAGATTCTTCTTAGAGACTATTTGAAATCTAACATTTCTTTAGCTACTGTTTATAAAAATCATTTCTGCATTTGACTATGGATATATGAAAGAAGACAAAAACCTCAGTTTTAGAAAAGAAAACATTCTCATGGCTAATGTTTCCTATCACTACATTTCAGGCATTTTCCAAGTGTTCTAAGAATAATGGAAAATAATTTTATTCCTAACAAGAGCTCCTCACTCTTACCACTCGTGATAAGATATCTGGAAACATACTTATTCTTAGTGAAAGTTTACAGATTTGGAGTATTTTCAGAGGCATCCACTAAAAACATCCATACTTTCCAAAATGAAATATTCTGTATGATACCGGTTTCTGCTTCATGGACACAAGAGCATGTACATATATACATATATATGCATGCATTTACTTGCCTATAAATTAGTTGTCAAAATTAAGCACCAAAAGGTGCTTAATATGGCATATTTGAGCATTTTCTCTCTTTCAATCTAAAATTAGCATTTTCTGTCAAAATCACTCTTGAGATTATTCTAGCACGTTGTGATAGCTCCTCATCAGTCAAAAAAGTCAAAAAGATCATTTTCCAGCTTTATAACACTAGAGGGCTATTTAAATCAAGAATGGATTGAGGTTAACACTTACTGAGGGCCCACTATTGACAAAATTCTGTATGATACTCTGATGACTACAAGAATAGTTATTTTTTGTTTACAAACAATGTGTTTAGGCTGAAGTCATCCTGTATGTATGTGCTCAGTTGTGTCTGACTCTTGGCAACCTCATGGACTGTAGCCTGCAAGGCTCCTCTGACCATGAGATTTTCCAGGTGAGAATACTGGCCTAAAGTCATCCTATATATAAATTTAAAATGCGGTGTTGATGCAGATGAGGTTGTTCAGTGTAGAAATTGAAGATGGCTGTGCTAACCAACATATTCACTCTTCTAAGCTAGAAAGAGATGACTTCAAAGTTTTATAGGCATTGTGTATATGACCCTTTCTGATTCCATACAGATATAGTTTCAAAGACCTCCTCAAGACAGTGGGGCAAGATGATGAGCAAGAAGACAACTGTGCATATGTCACCTAAGAACAAAGCTAATCCCTACAACAATTTCTTAGAATCCCTAATGAGATCTCAACAAGTGCAATAAACAAATGAATCCCAAATAAATTCCCAAGGAAATACGATAAATGCAAATTCAGTAGCACTTCAAGTATCTTTCTGACCCCTTTTATTGGACCCAACACTTCCTATTTCATAAAACTCACCACTCGTAATTGTTGCTACTTGTTTTCTTTGCTATCTTTTAAGCTGTATGAGAACATGGATTTTTCTTATTCTCTGCTATATTCTCATTGCCCACTCCTGTGCCTGATGCACAGAAGATATGGAACAAATCTTTGTGGAATTAATAAATTGACATTTTCTAAGTGTCAGCTATTGCTGTCTGTCTTGAGTTAAACTGCAGGCTCCTTCAAGGGAGAGATCTTTGCCTATTTTATCTTTTAATAAACCCCCAGTGTGTATTTCAGTGACCTGACTGTTAAACTTTCACATGTCTATGTTCTGTCTGCCCTGAAAATAATTTTCTTGAGGTTAGTGACCATGCCTCACTCACCTTTTTCTCCACATCATTTAATATATTCTCTGAAATGGCAACCCACTCCAGTACTCTTGCCTAGAAAATCCCATGGACGGAGGAGCCTGGTAGGCTGCAGGTCATGGGGCTGCTACGAGTCGGACACAACTGAGTGACTTCACTTTCACTTTCTGGTGCTGAGAAGCTGAATTAATAGTTTTGAATTAAGGAATAAATGAATGGATGCAAATTTACAATCTAGTATGGCAGACAGATACACATACTACAGGGTAAACAGAGGGCATTATTGAACATTTTGTTGCTGTTATTCAGTTGCTAAATCATGTCCGACTCTTTGTGACCCCATGGCACACCAGGCTCCTCTGTCCTCCACTATCTCCTGGAATTTGTTCAAATTCATGTCCACTGAGTAGGTGATGCTATCTAACCATCTCATTCTCTGTCACCCCCTTCTCTTCCTGCCCTCAATCTTTCCCACCATCAGGGTCTTTTCCAGTGTTGGCTCTTCCCATCAGGTGGCCGAAGTACTGGAGCTTCAGTTTCAGCATCAGTCCTTTCAATAAATATTCATGGTTGATTTCCTTTAGGATTAACTGGTTGATCTCCTTGCAGTCCAAGGAACTCTCAAGAACAAAATGTGCTATAAGCAAGTATTGAGATGGATGATATTTAGTTACATTAGTCAGATCTGCAAAGATTGCACAGAGAAAATGACATTTGAGCAAGCCCTTCAAGGATGGTTAAAATTTCAACAAGCAAAGATGGGGCAAAGGCCCTGAGACAGAAAAAAAGAATATTTGCATTTGGAAGAAGAGAAAAGTAAAAGGGAAGCTACAGCTAAATCATACTAGAGGGAAAAATAAAAAGAGGCAGGAGAGCTATGTTCAGAGATGTGGTAGAAAAAAAAAAAACCACAATATTCTGACAAGATTGTTAAAGGCTTAAACTCCAGTGAACTTAAACTAGAATAGAACTTTCCTATTGCCTTTGAATTTCAGCTAAAACCTTAAAGCTAAGAAGGATGGTAATAAACATGACTCATTTTAAAGTGTGGCACCAGAAATGCTAATGTAAGACTTAATCAGAGTTAACCAAACTTTGTCACCACCAACAGCCTATACCATAGCTAGAAACTTATTGTGAAGATACTTGGAAATGAGGGAATTAACAAGAGCAGAAGTGCTGTGACAGTTCTTCCCCAACCAATATCTACCTCAAGTCAAATGAAGACTCCAAGAGGACATACACAAGGCCTGGAATTACCTGCAAGAGAAGAAATTTCATTCTCAAATTATATGCTGGTTAGAGATAGAAACCAATAGATGGCTACCATCAGAGCAGAACTCAAAAACATTCTTGGGAGAGCATCAGGCAAGGATAAAGGGGCCCAGGGCATAGGATGAAGACAGAAGCAAGTGCCTGCTTGAGGCTGGCAAGAGCTGCCTGTGAAGGCAAGACAAGAAGCCATGAACAGATGGCTAATCACGTGCTTCCATTTGGTAAGGCAAGGACATGTGTACTTTCCCATGGGCACATGGAACCTGAAGAAGACAGTCCAGTCATTTCTAATGGACCCTGCCCAAGAGGGCCCCGCTAGGGAGAAAAGACTCCATGGAAAAGGGCAG